GCACCCCTCTTTTTCTGACCCCTGCCCACGACCTTTGACGTCAAAGCCAAAGGGAGGTTTGTATTAAATTCACTGCTAGCATCAATTACTTCTACCACCAGTTCCAAAACCATAAGGGACAAGATTAGAAACATCACTGGAGGTATGCTTCCCATCCCTTTTCCATCTTCCTCTCCAATGGCCAGGAAGTTGCTGATGTTCAGAGCATTGCTGATACTCTCCACCACAGCTTTTCTCATGCATGTAGCTCTTCTGTTTCTTCCCCTGCCTTCTTGGTCATCAAGTCTCGGGCAGAGCGATCACCCCTTTACACTTGTGGAACTCAAACTTGCTCTTCATAAGTCTGGCAGTACATTGGTCGGACCTGATGATGTTCATTATTTGATGCTGCACCATCTTTCTTCTACCTTTCTTGCTATTCTTCTGGTTATTTTTAACTGGATCTGGCAGGAGTATGTTTTTTGTTGTTTAATGCCAGGCTATTCTCCTCCCTTTCTCTAAACCTAGGAAAGATCCCAAGATTCATTCTAATTATCATCCCATTGCTTTGACTAGCTATCTTTGTAAGGTCTTAGAGAGGTTGGTTAATGCTTGTCTTGTTTGGTTCCTCGAATCAGACACGCTCCTTTCGCCCACCCAGTGTAGGTTCCATCAACAGCACTCCACCATTGACCATCTGATTTGACTTGAAACATCGATCAGGGAAGCCTTCCTCAAGAGAGAGCATCTTGTTTCCATGTTCTTAGATCTTGAAAAGGCTTATGACACTATGTGGAGGTTTGGCATTTTGTAGGACCTCCACTCCTATGGGTTGCATGGCCATTTACCCATTTTTATTGAGAACTTTTTACTGGACAGGCGATTCCAAGTCTTTGTGGGTTCGACTCTTTCCCATTTCTTTTCACAGGAACTTGAAGTTCCTCAGGGCTGCGTCTTGAGTGTCACACTTTTTAGTGTCAAAATTAATGCTATCGCTACACACCTTCCTCCAACCGTTGCAAATGAGCTCTATGTCAACCAATTCTACATCTCATGTTGGTTGTTGAATGTAAGGTTTATGGAACAGCAGCCTCAGACTGCCCTCAATCCCTTATTGACGTGGACCACTGCAAACGGTTTTACATTTTCTTTTTCCAAAACCGTTTGCATGCATTTTTGCTGCCAATGGGGTCTCCATCCCAATCCCGAGCTCCGTCTCAGTGATGTTGTTATTCATGTGGTCTTCGAGGCAAAGTTATTGGGGGCTTATCATTGACTGTAAGCTTACTATCATTCCACACATCGAACAGCTATGTGTCAAGTGTACAAGGGCACTGAACATCCTCCATGTTCTCTCTTCCACCTCTTGGGGAGCGAATCAATGTTTTATGCTCAGGATCTATTGTACTGTGATTTGATCGAAACTGGTCTATGGTTCTGCCAGGACCTTGGCCTTGAAGATGGTGGACCCTGTTCACCATCTGGGGCTTTGGCTCTGCATAAACATCGGTAGGAGGAAGTTGTCCTGGCAAGGCTATGCATTGGTCACAGCTTATTAATTCATTGTTTTCTTTTATCTGGTATTGACACACCAATGTGTAGCCTTTGTGACACTCAAATCACAACAGCCCACATATTACTGTTGTGCTGTCATTATGACCGTGAGCGGCGACACGATATTAGACACTTGTTTTATAAGGGTTTACCCCTGATGTTGGACAGTATCATTGGCAATGGTGACACTGACCAACTTGATTGTATTTTCAATTTTTTAAGAAAAAATGGTCTTTTTAATTCTG